CCAGCCTGTGACGTGCCCAGCACCAGGCAGGCCATTGACACACATTTATACAGTGATGCTTGCACAGATATCTCTGAAAGTAGCCGTACAATAGGAATATCATCTGCAGATGATCTGGAGACATTGTATCCATGATAGAGTTTTGGAGAGAGGAATCTAAAATTAATTAATTTTCTTTTTGGGCAAGGTGTAACTTGGCCTTGACATAACTCATGGCCTTTCTTTCCTTCTCCCGTAGTTGGTCTCTGGCCATTTGCTGCTATTTTTCCAGGCTCAGAAGAAAACAAGAGAGGCTAGAATGCCCTGTCGGATTAGGTTAGGTGTGGGCAGCAAAATCAGGTGTCCCCAAGTGATTTGATACTATCGCTCGCTCTCACTCACCCAGGCTTCACTAGTTCACACCCTAGAACAGTGGCTGCCCAACATTTGAAGCATATTTTATTTTTCTGGTTCCGGGAATCGAACTCAGCATGTGGCATTTGCCTCGCAGGTGCGTAGGCCACTGAGCTATAGCCTCGGCCCCTAACGCATCTTTTAACAGGCTCCTTTCAGCTTCGTAAGGTTTGCGCTTTAGTTGCGAAGAACATGTCAAGCCACACGCCCTGATTTCTGGTTTGGAGAATTTGGTCACCCTACCAAGGGACGAGATAGTCCGGCGATCTGCTTCTCTAGGGCAGCTTCATGGTCCTAAGAAAGCATTTAGCAGTTTACTTTCTGAAACGGGTTCAAGGAACACTCTTTGAATGAAAAAATTCAATCAAGAATAATATTACATGTTGGGAGAAGGATTTTTAATACAGAAGTTCCATCTGTGATATATTTAAATTCTAGGCCTTAGGCAGCAATTTCAGAAAAGGGCCTCTTTTACCATTATTAGATACAAAATAAATAGTTTGCACTGGGGGTGGAGGCCCTCTCTTTACTCTCTCACCCCTAAAAACAAAGGACTTGCTTCATTCTTCCTGAGATCACACATGCTACTTTTGTTTTTTTCCCATAGTGAAGCCTGGTATTGACAGCAAAATGTTTAGCACAACTTTAATTACCTGAATTATTCTGCCCATACTCGTACGTATCTAGTTCAGGAGGACGGCGAACTGCCCAAATGACAGCTGATTGTCAGTAAGAGGTAAGTTGTCAATTCCAAAATACAATTTGTCCTCTGTTTTTTGTTGTTGTTTTGTTTTTTGACAGAGAGTTATGCTACTTGGTTCAGGTTCACCTTGAACTCACTATTATGTAGCCCAGTCTGGCCTTCAACTAGAAATTCTCCTGCCTCAGCCTCCTAAGCGCCGGGATCACACCACGCCCTGCCATACTGTGCTGATCTCCAGTAGTTTAGCCGCGTTGACAAAGGCAGGATTTGCTGTTTAGGAGCGCTCAGCCATCTTGATTGAATGTATTTAGGAGGCAGCCTGGAGCCAGCACTGCAAGGTTCTTGCACGGTGATCTCTAAGTTGGGGTAGGGATGCGGCGGGTCTCAGGAGAGGCCTAGCCCTCCCTGGACGCTGTCCAGGCAGACCCACACTTGGGCAGCGCACGGGAGGCGCAAGTTTGCATACACAGTTTATTATGCATTCTTCCAGTCCTAAAAGAGGGGGAGCCTGCCACTCCGTCAGAAGCTTAAAACTTTATTCCCCATTTTTCCTGACCTGTGGCACGGCTTTCGCCTTCGAGCAGCGTTTGGGGAAGGCCCGGGCCCACCGCCGAATGGCTGAACGCATACATTTCCCTGCACATGGTGGCTCAGCAGCTCTGAGGATCGCTTTAAAAAAAAAAAAAAAAAAAAAGTAAAGTGAAAAATAGACAAATAGC